TGATCAGAGGCCTAAAAGCAAATCAGCGACAAAACCAAGTCATTCAGACAGCAAAACAGTTCCAATTTCCCGTAGAGTAATTTTTTTTCGTTCGAATAAGACTCACAAAATTTGTGTGCCCATCAAAATGGCAAAGACAAAGTCTTCAAAGAAAGCATATGAAATTGATTTCCGCAAAGTTCGCGACACCATGAAGCGTCTCAACATGAAGAGGTCTGACTTCGGGGCCATCGAAAAAATCGCCGCCGAATTGGAGTATACGTTGAGCAGCAGAAAACGTGTCAGCCACCTCAAAGCCAAAATGAACGCCTCAATCAAATATTGGGACAATTAGCATCAGTCGGTAAGTGTTTTTTTTTATTTCGAATTGCTCAGAAAGAAAAATTGTCGAAAGAAGTCAGAGAAGAATCGTTAAAATAGTGCGGAAATGTTATTTTCATGCGATATTTCGGTGATTTGTTGAAAAAATGAGAAAAATCGTGAAAAAGACACAAAAATCAATCAAGAAAAACCGAATCATTTGAGAAACCGCGATATTGTTTTAAAATCGATTGAAAAAAGTGACAAATTGTGTTTGCGTCGCAAAACACCACTGTGTTGAACAATACGCGCATTCATTTTACATCGACTAACGGGATTGATTCTTCGCTGGAAACACACACAATTCGGTGCACCGTCGGTCGGTGTTTTTTGTGTTCCCAACCAGATTTGTTCACAACAATTCATGTTGATGCATGTTTTCGTTTTGTTTCGTTTTGTTTCACAGCTCGTTCGACTGTTGCTTAACCATTGACGACCACCTTTTGACACAACGGACTCGCCCAACCGCCAAACCGAGCTCATGCAAACCCCTAATGGCCACCGAACATGAAAAATTGAACAACAAGACGTGAACAAAAAGACACGAACATTCACCTTCTCCCTCTGTCGAAAATGATGAAGAAGAAGCAACGAATGCCGCAGCAGCAAACTCACAGATGAGCAATAATTTTTATGCGCAGCATAAAAAACCCTTTGTTTTCGTCGTAAAGCATTTCCTAATGCAATCAGATTAATCAATCGATTTTGGTTTAACGTCAAGTAAATGAATCGCATTCGTGAGCGAAATATTTTTTTGTTTGATACAAAACACAATTGACGTAAAAAGACATACAAAAAACGAATCACAATTAGATTTAAGGATCGTTGATCGTGAAGTAAGAACAAACTGAATTTATATAAATTGAATAAAATATTGAAGTGACAAAAAATTGTAAGAATAACGAACAAAAGTTGGTGTTTTTAGTTGAAAAAAACAATCGTAGTGTTGGAATTTCCAGCGGGGAGAAATTAGCGTCACCTTTTGGATGATAAAGGTAAGTGGAAATGTGACTGAAGCTTTCCTTTCTTTCTTTGATTGAGCCAAACTCAAGAGAGTCTCAATTCTGCTTTGAATCAATTCCAATATTTTTTTCTTCTTTTTCTCTCATTATGCATCGTCTCTCGATCTTCCGACTCTTGTTTTTTCTAAATTCACTGAATAACTTCGATTAGTATTCCATATCGCAAGCCCTAAACCTCAATTTACATTATTAAATTGTCAAATTGGCAGGCAGAGCTAAAAACATCTATTGTCTTCAAATCAATGGATCATGTATGAGCTAATTGCTGTGGCTATTGTATTGAGATATCATCCAAGTGTTCAGCATCCATTGCACGGACAAAACATGCTGAGAATAGCATGAATAGATTAGCACATTCATTTCGATTTCCAAAGTACCTCAATAAAAGTTCAATTTCTGATGAAAATTTCATTCATATAACTTACTTATACTACATAAGTGCAATTACTGGGTTCGAGTATGAGCCGAAAAGAGTGTAAAGATTTAAACAAAGCATTTTAGCAAGTGTAAGTGTCATTGTTCAGTTGCCTATAAACTGTTCATTGGATATGAACAACAATCGTTTGTCGGCCTGATGTAATTTGCTCTAAGTCATTTGTTCTCAGCGGTTGGAAAAAAGTTATACTTGAACTCGGTCGGTGTTCACTTTGCATTGGGAGCAAATGATGGCTATGAATGAGTACAGGCGCATAAAACTAACTTGAAAAATCAATATTTTTCTTCTTAATGTGAAAAAACTCATCGTTTCTTTGGAACTTTTATAAACCATTCAATAAAATTCCATTGCGAAAGAGTCGTTTGTTCTGGAAAACTCAACGAATCGATCTGAAATACCGACATTCTGAATGATCCAGTTGGAAAAAGTCGTTGAAAAAAATCCATTTAATGGGAAAAATAAATTTATTCCATTAATAAATGATTAAGAAAATTTTCTGATTGAAATCTAATTTTTTTTTCCGGCGAAAAGTCCAATGCAAATTCAAATATTCAACTAGAATCTATCGTTGCTATAAATCAAATGTCAAAATGTCTATGTGCAAAAAAGGTCTGGTTCAGTTTGATGGCGCTGCTTGTCGTCCATGTCAATTCACGCGAACATCATACCGAGTTAACGAAGCAAGTGCGGTTGAGCTTGTGTTCATTTCTGTTCCAGCATTCCTTGCAACCATACGCTTAAAAGCAAATTAGCTCCAAAGCCAAGCATCAGTAAAGTCATTCAGACAGCAAAAACAAAGTCCGAATTTCTCTCGTAGAGTAATTTTTGTTTGTTCCAAATAAGATTCGAAAGTTTGTGTGCCCATCAAAATGGCAAAGACAAAATCGGCAAAGACAAAGCCGGTAAAGAAATCATACGAATTGGATTTCCAAAAAGTTCGCGAAACCATGAAGCGTCTGAACGTGAAATCCGCGAAGAGGGATGCTGTCGAAAAAATCGCAGCCGAGATGGGATTCGAATTGAGCGACAACGAACGTATCAAGCATATGCAAGGCAAAATGACCGCATCCATTCTACATTGGAACCGCTCGTAGTGTCAGTCGGTAAGTGTTTTTTTTTTCATTTTGAATTGCTCAGAAAAAAAAGTAAGGAAAAATCGCAAAAAGTCGGAAAAAGTCGGATAAAAAATAGAAAAAAAATCGTAAAAATAGTGCGGAAATGGTATTTTCATGCGATATTTCTGTGATTTATTTAATATTGCGTAGTTCGGAATAGGAATTGATAAAAAAATATCGAGAGAAATCGTGAAAAAGTCGCAAAAATCAATCAAGAGAAACCGAATCATTTGAGAAACCGCAAAATCGTTTTAAAAAAAAGGAAGAAAAAAATCGATTGAAAAAAGTGACAGATTGTGTTTGCGTCGCAAAACACCACTGTGTTGCGCATTCATTTTACATTGACTAACGGGATTGATTCTTCGCTGGAAACACACACAATTCGGTGCACCGTTGGTCGGTGTTTTTTGTGTTCCCAACCAGATTTGTTCACAACAATTCATGTTGATGCATGTTTTTGTTTTGTTTCGTTTTGTTTCACAGCTCGTTCGACTGTTGCTTAACTATTGACGACCACCTTTTGACACAACGGACTCGCCCAAGCGCCAAACCGAGCTCATGCAAACCCCAAATGGCCACCGAACAAGAAAAATTGAACAACAAGACATGAACAAAAAGACACGAACATTCACCTTCTCCCTCTGTCGAAAATGATGAAGAAGAAGCAACGAATGCCGCAGCAGCAAACTCACAGATGAGCAATAATTTTTATGCGCAGCATAAAAAACCCTTTGTTTTCGTCGTAAAGCATTTCCTAATGCAATCAGATTAATCAATCGATTTTGGTTTAACGTCAAGTAAATGAATCGCATTCGTGAGCGAAATATTTTTTTGTTTGATACAAAATACAATTGACGTAAAAAGACATACAAAAAAACGAATCACAATTAGATTTAAGGATCGTTGATCGTGAAGAAAGAACAAACTGAATTTATATAAATTGAATAAAATATTGAAGTGACAAAAATCTGTAAGAAAAACAAACAAAAGTCGGTGTTTCTAGTTGAAAAAAACAATCGTAGTGAAGGCATTTTCAGCCAGGAGTAATTAGCGGCACACTTTGGATCGTGAAGGTTTGTGGAAATGTGACTGAAGCTTCCTTTTCTTTCTTTCTTTCTTTCTTTGAGCCAAACAACTGAATATACTTTGCGCCAATTCGAATATTCTTTTCTCTTTCTTCTCTCATTGCGCATCATCTCTCAGTCTGGCTCTTACTTCTTCTACATTCACCGAATAACTTCATTCATTATTGATTACTCAGTAATTATTGCTGGCAAAACATGCTTAGAATATCGACTTTGACTTGTCGAGTTTTCACTCATTGAGCGACGCTCAATACTATAGTTAGCTCAATTGTTACCTGAACGTTGACTAGAGTCAACATTGATTGTGAATATGGGCTATACTTGTTTCTTGAACAAATCGCACGTTCTAGGGAAATACCGAATCGATTCATACGTTTATGGGTAGACAAATGTAGACCGTTCAAACGTCATTCAGAAAATGCCGAATTTACTTCAGGCAAAATTCCCACTTTACTCGATGCAATGAGCGACGGTATTTCGAATTGGGAAAATTACGAATTGCTTTTTGGTTTTGTTCAATCAAACAAGAGACATGGCTTTAGCTCATGTTTCACTTGCATGGGGCTGGGGTGTATGAGTCAATTCATGTGACGTTTTATTTGCTTTATCTTACGATACAAAGGATATCAGCATCGCGTCAAAGAAATCATTTTTTACGCTGATTTTTTTCCCAGTTTTTCTTAGCTAAAATCAGAAGATCGATTTTGCAATTGGCTTGCATTTCAGTGGACTAAAGTTTTTTCTGCATTTCTTCCTTTGGAATGGGTTTCCTCAACATGGTTCACAATTGTCATTGTCAATGACTCATTGCATTACATCCAATCAGCTTTATCTTTGCTCAGCTAAGTTAAGTGTGCGTGTGTTTTGGCATGTGTGTGTTTTTGCGAATGAGAATTCAGTGCACTGAACAAATGTTTGTCAACATCTTTTTGGACCAGTTAACGTCACGCCTTGCATAATGTTATAAATTACAGCATGAGTGCATCGAATGAGTCATTCTGTTTCGAGCATTCAAGTGGCTTGGTCGCATTAAGTAATTGATCACTTCCAATCAGTCACTTCAAATCATTTCAATTGCATCGATTTGCGTCAGAAATCACAAATTCAGTGTGTTCTTTTTCCATTTTCCATTAAACGCTAATTATTCATTGCTTAAACTTGCGAATCCGGTTCAATCAGTCGTGAAACAAAATGACGACATTTGTTTGTGGTCAATGTGAATTGCAATTTTCGAGCTTTGGAGGATGCCGTACACACATTGTCGGCGACCACAACAGTGATGTTTCGAGCGTCACAGTCAAGGTCTTCCTTCACCAACCGAAGAATTATCAGCCAAAACGCCCGGCCAGCAATGTGCGCAAAATCGTGACTCGCCTTCAAGCCAAAGGTCGCAAAGCCAAGACCATTGCATTGGAGAAGATAAAGATGGCATCCGATCGTTAGTACCGATTCTGGGTAAGTCATTGCATAAATACTAAAACAATTGAAGTTCCCATTGATTCATGGGTGAGTTTGAGATTCGAGCATTTTTGTCGTGAGAAAGGAGAGCATGTTTTGATCATGGTTTTCTAGTTCAATGCCATGAACGCCTGGAAAAAATCATGTCATGAAAATTGATGTTGTTTTCGAATATCTGAAGACAATTTTAGTTGCTAAAAGCTAGATAGAAGCCCAGACATAGAACTTATTTTGAGATTTGCATACATAAGGTCTTTTTTTTTCAATAAACAGTCAGTGCGACTCGTGCTCTTTTGTCTAATGCATGCTTTTCTATATCGAACTCATCAACTGAGAAAAAGTGAGATTGAAATTGACAGAGAGTACAGAGTCAAAAAAATGAGGAACAAATAAATTTATGCGCCAAAAGTGAATTTTGCTACGCATTTTCCGCAAAAGGAGAATAAGTCACGTTATTTTCTCATTCAATAAGAGTGAATATGAACCCGTGAGCATAAAAACGACTTATTAAACAATTGCCGAACAAAACGATACAAGAAAAAACTACCAAACAAAACACACGTTAAAAACGTAACACAGCAGGACGGTACCGTTCAAAACGAAACTCCGCTGTGCTACACATTACCGCTGTGGTACGTTTTGTTCGGTAGTTTTTTCTTGTATTGTTTTGTTCGGCGATTGTTTAATAAGTCGTTTTTATGCTCACGGGTTCATATGTGTGTCGCAATGTGATGAAATTCACTGCCTTTATCGAACAATGTACTCTTTTCTCTCGAACAAACCCGTTCTTTGTTCACCGTAACTCTGCCATGCAATCGATTTGTTTCATTGGCTTATCACTGTTTTTTCGTGCTTTGATTTCATTTCAGAGCCCATTTTAGCATCCCAGTGAAGTATAAACGATGATCGCTATCGACTCAACGGACATGAATAATCTCAACTGAAACTGAAACACAGAGGTACCGTACAGTCACCGACTGAAACATAAACATTAAACAACCACAGGAGCAAAACATAACGAAAACAAAGGATATCATGAATACGATTGCATAGCATTAAACAATACTGCTTTGAGTGAAACCACACAGAGTCAGCTCTGTTCGTGCTAATTTTTTTGAGACCAATAATGAATTCTGATTTTGGACAAAGCAATCGATTCGTCGCATTTTCAAAAAGAAACAAAAAAAATCTCATTTTTAAGCACATTGCGTGAAAGATCATTTGTCTAAAATCCAACCGATTCGAAATTTGTCTCAACTCTTTTAATTGTGTCATGAGCTCATATTTCCAAACTGATTGCAATCGATTTAAATTAAACATGTCATTAGTTCTATGGTCTTCGACTGTAATGAGACGCTATCGTTGCATTTCAAATAAAATTCATTTACTTGACTTGAGTAAAATTTTGGTGTTTTTTATGAAGTATACTTTGACGTTTGGTCTTTCAAAGAGAAATTTTCAGGTACCGGGCTTCAATAGGTAAGAAGAAAAAGGTTTGTTGGATAAGAAAAGGAGAAAGAAGTCTGATTAGAATTGTTGTTAGAAATGACTAAATGGAAGCTAGTTTTATGATGAATTCAAGTAAATTGCAATTGGAGATTGAATGTAAGGCCATTCATTGGGGCTACTTCTACACGTATCAGAAGAAAAATGCAAACTGTGCCTATTTCTGAGCAACATTCTGCGTTAATTAATGGCAAAAATTACATTTTCATTGAACTACATTCAAACAGAGCTACTTTCAACAGATTCAAGGGTCATACACACAAAGGTAATGTCATTCGATTCTTTTTTGCATGCTTTTGTTTAGTTGCCATTGCATTGACGTTTTGATGTGTCAGTTCGGCATTAATGCTTGTAATAGTTCTAATTACCGGAGATTTTTTTTTATCTAAGTCTAATTCATTGGCAGCCGTACCAAATTTCGATCCATATCAATTGTCAATTTTTGGCGCCAAAAGTCTTGTTTATAGCGCAAAGTATCAGAAGAAAAGTCGATTCAGTTCAATTCAATTCGACACAATTCGATGTGACCTGGTTCAATTCAGATTTTGCTTTTACTTCTGTCTGTGATCGCAGCATACTTTGAATACCGCACATCAAATTCTAAGCTCATTTTCAATTGTGAATTCATTCGATTTGGATCCATCAACCTAAAATACGTAAATTAAAATTAAAATCCCAAAGTCACCGTAAGTTGAAGAAGAAAATAAGGAAAAATGGCACCGAAAACTGCACGAGCAAGAACTACAAAAGCCAAATCTACAGACATTCCATCGCTGGACTATCACAAAGTTCGTAAGGCCATGAAACGGCACAATACCAAGAAAATGGATAAGGAAACGGTCAAAAAGATTGCCCATGAGCTCGATTTCCCTTTGAAAGACCTCAGCCACGAACGTCATCTCCGTGGCAAAATGCTCGCTTCAATTAGAACATGGGACAAAGAATAAATCGGTAAGCATCTTTTGGTCAATTTTACCTTATTCTTTTGGAAAATTGGGTTTCAGAAACTCATTTGGTGTGGCATAAAATCAGTCACAACTGAACGCTTTCGATTACTTCGATCATTCAGTTTTTCTAAAGCGTCAATTAAGAAAAAAAATTCTTTTTTATATTGAAATCTAATCAAACTTTGACGTTTTTTTATAAAAACAGTGAAAAATATGACTTTTTAAAGTGATTGTAACCAAGTTTTTACTATTTTTCACAAAATATTTCATTTTTCTCAACTAAAATATCAAGTGTTCAGTGTTTTTGAGCCAGTGTTCACTGAACAATGTTCATTTTGTATATTTCATCTGGATGACACATTTTTATTTGCCTCTTTTCAGACTTTTCCCATCAATCAAAACTATGACCAGGCCATGGACACGAATAAACCAAACGCAAATTTAAACCAAATACAAAAAAAAAAATTCAAACTGAATTGAATCAAAAGTGTGAGATCGAAAAATAAATAGAAAAACCATAGTTGTAAGCTTTGTAGCGAGCATGTTACTTCAAAATTAAAATAAAAATTGCTTAAATCTAGCTGAAGACTTGAGAAGAATTTCATTTGAATCATTTTATTCAAAGCCAAACAATTTTTTTAAAGCATTGAAAATTGCACCAATGGATGCGATTATTTCTGACTTGATAATACTGACTCCATAGCATAAATGCTTGTGTTCTAAATGTATGGGACTGTGACAATTGAACATCTGATTTTTATTTTGATTATTATCATTCAAAGTTCTGTAGGCAAATGGTCCTATGAACCAGAAAATGTGTTGACACAGACCGTGTTTCACACGGTAAAGTATCTCTTTTGAAAGTCGAATGGTTCGAGGAAATGGGAAAAAAATGTGCCAAGACAATTATTCTTCGGATCATGAGTTATGATTGAATTTCACAACAAAGTCTTCAAATTGCCTAGCAAATTGCACTTTCTCATAGATTTTTCGATAGAAACAAACCTCTTTAAATTTGTTCAGTAGAAATTGCACCTTATTTGATCTGTTTGAATTGGAAATTCCTGGAAATGTACCAAAATCTACTAACCCTTCTTAATTTTCTTATCTGCCTTACCTTAAAAATGCGCAAATTCCCAAAATCGCGCTACTTAAAATTCTTGATTTTTTTTCCAGTAAAAAGGAACATTATCGATTTGAATGGTCATTATTGAACATTCAAAAGGGCAGTGCAATTGTGCAAACAAATCAGAAACAGTTCAGCATCCAAAGGGAACACTTGAGGCATCGAAAAAAAATAATTAGTTTTCAAATCGCATTCCACGAGTAAATGTTCTAAGTTGCAAGTTTTCACGAATAAAACTCAAAGACACTGAGAGAAAAGGGAGACAGACTTCAGAACTAAAAATTTGTTCGTTGTCTCTGTGTATTCGTATCAAAATGGAGAATATCGCTATAAAAAAGAAACCATTGGAAATAAAGACCGAATCGATTGATAACTTCTGCGATGAGTTCGAAGTGATATACAGAACAGAACCAATCGAAAGTGAGAATGATGTAAAGCCAAAGATTGAACAGCTGCCGCTTATTTTGTACCCAACATTTTGTATTGAAAGAGGTGAGACGGCGATAAATAGAGGAGCCTTAGGCGTGGAGATAAAACAAGAAATTGAAGCGATGGAAAACTGTGGAGAAAGTGTAAAAGAACGCCGTGAGCCAACAAAAAGAATCCAAGCACCAGTCAAAATTCACAACGAATCTACGACCAATAGACAAATCCCAGCAGTGCTCACAGTGGAACAGAAAGGTAAACCAAATCACAAGCGGCCACTGAGACGGGTTTATCGACAAGAAGAAATTTCGTATTTTTTTCCAGCGCCAAAAAAGTTAGCAGAATCAAAAGAGCAAAAACTTACATATCCCTGCGAAACGAAGACACACTATGACTGTGATACATGCGATAAAACATTCAAAACACTAAATTTGCTTTTAAATCACCGACGCTTGCACACAGCAATTCAATGGCAATCAATCCCAATCAGTAGAAATTTACTGGAATGGCAAAATAGAAAAATCAAATTAGCTCGTCGATCGAATAGTACTAATACATCGTTTAAGCAAAGAGATTTGGCGTTAGTTAGAAATGAATGCTCCAATTGGCAACGACGACAGGAACTAGTAAAAAAAATCAAACAATTTGATCGAGAGCACAGGAATAGATTTGAATCAATAAGACAATTTTGATGAAATTATTTATTTTAAGCTTGAAAATGATTCACTTTAGAATCAATAGGTATTAAGCATTGTTTCTTGGATTGAGAATTCACTTTTATTGAAATAAAAATAACATTTGAAATTTAAAAATAGTAAAAATCAACCAATTGTGTTTAATTTACAATTTAATTGGGTGAATTCGTTGTTTTTCTGTTCAAAAATAGGCAAACTGTCAACAAGTAATGTGTCATGTCGCTGATTATTCAAATTATTCATTCAAAATGTGAATTCTATTGACTTATCTGTGTAAATAAACCTAAAATTTACGTCGTAAATTGGCACGTTTGGCATCAAATGCAAGGTAAAAGCGGATCAAAAAGAACGATTCGGCACAGAAGACTAAGAAATTGATACAATTCTGTGCATAAATCACCAAATTTAGTGCTTTGAAATTACCATGGCATAGGGCTGTAATTGGCTGATTCGATGCTAAATAGTTCTGTGCGATAATTTCTAGCCTATTGTTCAACGACTTAGAATCTACGTAGTGTTTGTTCATCATCCATATGACCGTGTGCGTAGGCTCAATGTATTGGCCATAATCGTCAAATAAATGTCAAACAATTGGTTTCATTCAATGTTGTTTTCGAATTTGTGTGTCACAAACAAGTCAATAGATTTTAAAATTCCGAATGATAAACACATTCCAGAGCCTGCTCTCAACTCTAAGAAAATTAGTAGAAAAATGTCAAGTTACTTCGAAATACAGAGTATTAGTATTTCGACAGAGGTTCAGTATTTCACAATACACATCGAATTTGCGATAGAAAATTGCGTCAATTTGTTTCAATTCCAACAAATACAGTAACCAATTCCGCATTGAAAAATGCTACAATCTATAAAATCGTACCGTTATTCGATTAAATAAAAGAAGAATACGATTCATTTACAAAAATAGTGTGTTGACATTTCGAAGAAACAGATGGATTGATTGAACCTTTGAAATGACTAATTCTTTTACTTCAAAATTTCCTTTGTTGTGTGGCATTGTTCATTGTTTGGCACATGTGTGCCCAAGTATTGATCGAAAACAAAACACTCTGTGCAAATGTTTACTCCGAAAGAATGTCTTAATAATCTGTGTAATCGAAAATAAATAACATCTCACGCGAAGTGATTTGTCACTTTAGAAAAAATTTGTATAAAAGGCGTGTTGGAATGGAAACTGAAACAATCAGTTTATTAATTCCGATCGAATCCGTTCGAATCAAGAAAAAAAATTCAACATGAAATTCACCATTTTTGCACTTTTGTTGCTCATCGGTGTAGCTGTATACGGTGCGCCTCAATCTGGTGGCGATAGTGGGCCTAGTGTTAGTGATGGCGTTCAAGCTCCAAGAACTCCACTTCTCCTCGATGACGCTGATGCTGACGGTTAGTTTCATATTTTTCTCCCTAATTATTTTTTGTTCCATACACCGAGAAAATGGATTAAGTACAAATTCAGTTAATACTTTGAAAGTTTTGTATTCAAAGCAAAGAGTATCTTACTATGGAACGACTTCAAAAAAAAATCATAATTGATTTGCATTCTTTCACTCTTTCAAACATATTTCTCATCGTTTAAACAGGAAGCGACGCTGATGACAGTAACAGTAACAGTTCAAATAGTGAGTATGACTTCATATATTTCTAAATTACACAAACTCTTCTAATATAGAAATGACATTTTTTTAATTCTAAATGCGAAGGCAGTAGCTCCGAAATTGATTCTGATTCTGAAAACACCAAAGGCGCACCAAATCCATCTAACATAAAATAAATGGTAATATTCTATTGCTCATTCAACACATTTCTAACACAAAATTAATCTTAATAACATACGAATTCTGTGCTAGAAATTGACGTTGCAAGCAGACGTTCGCATTTGCATTGCTTAGGAAGCAGCATGTTTTAAGGCACAGCATTAATGAGCGCGAGATCCGTGTATGCGTCGCTGTTGCAACCATCGATGTGCTAGCATTAATGCTGTGCCTTAAAACATGCTGCTTCCTAAGCAATGCAAATGAGAACGTCTGGTTGCAAGAAAAATATTATTTTAGTAAAAACAACACATTTGTGTGTTAAATTCGTGCATTAAAAATGTCCTTTCTATATTTCAGATTGTCATCGAACGATGCTAGAGTTAATCAGATGAATTTATAAGCTGTGTGTATTATAAAAAATAAATACTTGTTCGAATATAAAAAAAAATAATGTCCTAAAAAGCAATAGAATTGTTCAATAAAAATTGTGACACATTTTGAATGAAAACAATCTCATTCTTTTTACGAAGCAATAGATCAGGTGTCGTTTTTGTTAGGTAATTTGCCAATGAGTTTACGCATTGTCTTCCACCGCCAAAAGTTTGTAGACAATAGACTATGGTAGTTATTTCACCGTAGGCGAAGCTAGAAGATCTTTCAAAAACCGAAAACTTTTTAGCTAAAAAAAGTTGACATCGAACAATTTCTTCAGTTCGAACTGAACGGCAGAATAAACGGTTTTGAATATTTCCGAATGTAACAGTTGGTTTGTAATGAAAAAATCGGTAGGAAATTCGCATGCTTTAAATCAGAAGCCAGACGTATTTAGTGTAACACTTAGCGCAGTTGAAAGCGAGTCAGAAGTAAATAATAAAAGTTCAACAAGCAATACAGATGCCATTCCATCAAACTGTGAAGCGGTGGATATCAAACCAAAAGTTGAAAATCTTCTGAATATACTCAATTGAAGAGAATAATGAACCAGTGTCTGGGCAAATCCGTCCACAAATCATAGAGAATCAAAATCAAATACCAATGGTGCAGATACATGCAAGAGAACTAATTCCACACTTAAATCCATCGAAAAGGAGTATCGAAGCGCCTCAACAACAAAACAAAACGAATGTGTTCATGTCACAAAAAGTCGCTTCGAATGCGATACATGCCTTAAACTGAGTCATTTGCTGAGACATCAGCGAATTCACACAGTGTTTGAATGGCAATCAATCGCTACTAATGGCTGCTCACTGGAGTGGAAAAATGGACGAAGTGCAAATGTACGTAGATGGACTGGCAAAGTGAACTCGGTATTTCAGTTCGAGTGGGGTATTTTGATCAGTTTCCGAGAAGGAATAAGCCGAGCAAGAACGTCAAACCAATTTGACGAGATAATCCGATTTGATAACCTGTTTGAACTTCGGTTTGGCTAGCACCGGATCGACAATTAAAACAAAGCAGGTTATCAATAAGCAGAACTTTGACTCTTTTTTTAAAGGTAAACAGTAATTAATTTTTACAGTTTTTTTTGGTCCATAGAGTCACATCAGGTGTATGTGCTTAAAAAAATGAAACCAATCGGATCAGCATAGTGTACCAGTTTTAGTGCAGATTAAAAGTCATCACTAACCTGTGCAGTGTGCATTTTTCTCTGATAGTTCAAAAACGTCAAACACCTACAGCGGATTATAGTCCAACGTAAATGCAAGAAGCAATGTGTCCAAGCAAAATTCTTGATTCAGAAATTCAATTTATTAGCAGTTTTGTCAAGAAAAGTCACCAGTCAGTTAATTGTCGTTGAACGATCCTCATCATTTTTTGGTAGGAAAAAATCACGCTAGAAGTATAAAAATTTCCCTAAAAAAGACATTTACTTACACGAAGTTCGTGTCACGAACAATTCAATCAGTTTCAGTCATTTGTGTTGTTCTCAATCGTGCTAAAAACAGTGTTGGAGCTGTGAGAAGTGACTCTCATAACGTTGATTGCTCTAAATCATATATAAAAGTGGTTGTTTTTTTCAAGTCAAGTTTTCAGATGGATATTTTGTCTGATTTTGAGAAAATTTCTCTCAACACTCAGAGCACACAAGAGCTGGACAGTCCCGAGATAGTACTTCAGAACGATTTTGGAGTAGAAAACACTTTGAGTCAGTCGAAATGCTCTGGATTTTCTTCGAAAGAAACAATATCGAAGGACGATATTTTGGCTTACCATAAAATTGAGCCCTCACCTATTTCCAAAAATAGGTCAAAAATGGATTCTGTCAAGTTCGTAGAATCGCCAGAACATGATCACTATATCAAACGTCGAAACAATTTAAAAGAGACCATTCTGAAAAATATTCGTAGGAATCGATTCATTTGTCGCTATTGCCCAAATCAACCAGCAACATCAAAGTATTGCAACAAACATAAATTGTGTCGATTGAAAGGGACTTCATATAAATGTAAATTTTGCGGCGATCATTTTGATTTTAAATCTATTCTTATGTCTCATATTCGGTCTTCTCATTCGAAACTTTTAACTTTGTTTCAAAATTCAAAACTTGAACAGATGACAAAACGAGCCGTCAAAGGGATGCTACCAAATATTCAAACGTTTCAAAATGCACTCACCAATTACTCGAAAATTCGCTAAAGATTTTAAGTAAAACAACAAACAACGAAACAACAAAGAACAGTTGGGCTCATAACATAAGAATCAATCTAACAGCTGAAACTAGGGAAAACATAAATTTCATTTTTTTAGTTTGAAAATAGAAATTGAAACATAATTTTGTATGTATTGTAATTCAATTTTGGTTCGATACTTGTCATTTTATTATGAGCAGGGAATCTGATCACATCTTGAGAATAATCTAGCTAATTGAAGTAAATGTACCGGTAAAAGAAACACATCAATTAATAACTTTTCAACAGGCCTTTTCATGTCGTGTGTGAAAATATTTCAAAGAGAAATTTTGGTACAGAAAAATGAACGGATTCGACTATTGTGAATTCCAAGAATTTTATGAGAAAATTTGAATTTTTGCTAACTTTTTTTTTCCAATTTTTCTTTCTTTTTGATTTTTCTGTAGAAAAATAAAACAATTTTGGTGCTGTTTTTGTGCTTCAAATTCCAGTTTGCATTACTTTCATATAAAAACCTAGAATTTAAACAACATTTTCATAACTTACACACTTTTTTGTCAATTTCATGTTTTTTTGAACAAAAATGCAATTTCATTCGGAATAAATAAAATAAAATATAAAAAATCAAATCATCTTTTCATTATTCAACGACCAAAAGTTAAATTGTTCGTCAATTCCAGCAACTTAACGAGACTATTCCAGTAATCTAGGTGGCGCAAGCAACACTACTTCATAGTTGTCATTCGCATTGTTTTGACACTTGTGTGCCGGCTTTTTGGAGAGATTTCATCAATTGTATCATATTTTTTTTCCATTTGTGGAATAGTTTTTTCTATTGCGTATTTACTTCATTCAGTGGAAAACTCATAGAAACCGTACACTTTATTCGTTGCAATTGACAAAGGGTAAGAAAGTCCAAATTATTTATCCAAAAGAATATTTTCAAATATGTTCATGTGTTGTGAAAGTGTTTTACACGTCCAATTGAACGATTTCCGATTGGTTTTCTATGCAAACATTTCAACATTTTTAACAATTTTTTTCGGAAGATTTTGTTCGAAAATGATGATCTAAATGTTTGGTGAATCATTTTGATTTCTTGTGATTTAAACCGCACTGACTTAATGTCATCAACTTAATTGATGTGCTAGGCACATTGTGCGTACTTTTATTCAAACCGCACTGTCATTGATTTTCCGTCAATTTGCAGAGACCGTGGTCAGATCGCTTCAATGGCAAACATGGCAAACAGTGGATCGCCGTTGGTTCCCGAATCGGCAAACAGTTTATCGCCGTTGGTTCCCGAATCGGCAACAAGCGCCAATATTTCCCATATTCGCCGTAGTCTTCGTCTTGTCTCCGACGTACAGTTGGCATGTGGCTACTGCCCACAAAAATTCTTGCTCCAATGCAATTTAAAGTTTCACGAAGCCCTTCATCAAATCAAACAACGTTTACGCGAATCAACGCCGATTTGCAAGTTATGTAAGAAAAAATTCAGCAACAATCAGCGCCTGAAAAATCATCGTTGTACATCGAAAGAAAATCAGAAACCGTTTGAATGCAGTGTGTGCCATAAAAAGTTTACCAACAAACGCCTTCGCGACGTCCATGAAGAAAATCATTTGGATTTATGGAATTGCACTCAATGTCCAGAGACATTTGAATGTGAAGGTGATTTCTTGGATCACGAACAAATTCATCTATGGATAGAATCAGTCGAACCTCACCTTGACTGCAGCGAGTCAGAGTTGATTTTTAAAAGTATCGAAACCAGCTTTTTGGATCTATCGGAAATTGATGATGATTTTAATAGTTCAATTTGTACAGCGACCACTTCATGCACATATGTTCCCGTTCTCAATTTACGAAATTTACTCGGTGAATTGGAAGAGGAGATGGAAGCCCGATCGAGTGATGAGTCTGATGATGGTCAATGTGATGACTGGAGCAATAATAGTGAGTTGACTATGAGTGAAGAGGCAAACATTATGACAATGCTTGAGAATGATGCACAAACAAATGACAGTGATAATGAATCGGTGGCCAATGACGAAGCAAATGAAAGTGGAAATGAAGTCAGCCATTTGTACGATGATGCCACAAGCAAGCACAGTGATGCAAATCAAATTGAAGAGGATTTTGAAGGCATCGATGCACTTAACATGTCATTATATCCAATTGAAGAAGAAGTAACGGTAGGAATTGATATGTATAATACCGTTCTTTGACAGATATTTTCAACGATAATGATTTTTTCTCGTGAATTGAACTGAACTTTTGATCAAATCTGTTTATTTTGATGGTAAAAATATAGTTTTGTTCTAATTTGAATTTTCTTTATCGATCATTCCACAGACAATTTCTTCAATTGATGATTTGGTAGCTGAAACCCAACATGAAGAGCCAATTTACGATCGGATTAATGATTTGGTAGATGAAGCCCACCATGACGACCCAATTCAAGATCAAATTGTCGCTGTTGTGAATAACCCAAGTCCAATGGAGGCTGTGTCAACACTTCCCGTTGAAATAGTTCCCAATGATGAAGCGATTGAAAATCGTTGCGATTTGACATCCCATAAAAACAACGAGTCATTGGAACATGAACACCATATTCACCAAAATGCCACAGTTGTAGTCAAATCAATTGGATCTGATGTTATGTCGAATGTTTCATTGGCAACACAACAAATAAACGAAGTTGGAAGTGAATCGCAATCGAAACGATATTCATTGAGACTGAACAGAACAATAGCTTCTTCGCGCGACTATATCTATTTAACGACAGCGCCAATCCGAAGTGATTTAGGCCTTGGAGCTGATGTTAACAAATCAAGAAGAGGAAAATGCAGCCTTTGCGATATGACATTTCATGCGAATCGCAAAAAATTGGAACATAAATGTCTCGTTCTTCAGCCAAAAGTGGTGCTCAAACGTATTGGAAACGATGCCACTGCACCAGGGCAAAAGGTTAATGAAAATGGAAGTTCACATGATGTGAGCAAACAGATTCACACTCCTGATCAAGTTGTCACCAAATCCAAATCACCTCAGATGAATCGTCAGTGCAACGAGACCGAGTTGAATGTGCCAGAAGTTGGGTTAGTGTTGGATAATGTGTTGGAGACAATTTCGCCATTGAATGATGTGAACGAGGACATCCAATCACAGAATGACGTCGGATCAAATGAGATTGAATGTGCCACCGTTCAGGAGAATGACACCGTTCAAAACGCACCAGTTCCAGAGGAAGCAACGGTAATCACTGAAGCAACGGAAGCCACAAAGCCGACGACAATCACTTCAAAGCCGTGTTCACTATTATCAACGTGGAACATTCAACCGAAATTTGACTGTTTCAAATGCAAGCAACGATTTGATAGCAAACAAAGTCTGGAGCTTCATCGGAAAGTTCATTCCACTGAGAACGTAAACATCGAAGCTCATCCGATTGATGGTGCTCAATACAAACAACCAACAGGTGCTATCGAATCAAATTCATCTGGTGAAGAGCTGAGTCAAGAATGGGCCGTTGAGTTTAAAAATTGGGCTTCAAGAAGAAAAAGTGACCGAATGACCAAAACAACCAATTCCAGTGAAGTGTCAAACAAAAGACATGTCGATCAAAACAAACGCACCAAGCTAAGTCCACCGATCGAAGTAGAGGCAAGTGATGATACCATTACAACCATTGATTTGATGTCAGTTGAGCCAGAATGCCATGGAAATGAAGTTGTCATTAGTACAAACAATTTCGAACAATTGACTAATGACAGAGAATTGGCTGAAGTTGATGCTGTCGAACCGGAGATCGTATCAGAAAGTGCCACCGTGAAGAAAAGTCCAAAGAGAGCAATAGGACCTCGCCGATCAAAACGAGATTTTCGTAGGTCATATATAAAGTGTGATGAATGTGATGCAGATTGCCCTACATTAAAGCAATATGTAAAACATAATTCTCTAGAACACGGTAACCAGCGACCGCTCGAAAGTTGCTTCTACACCGAAAGGCTTAAATTGGCGCGTCAGAAAGTTTCAAATGAGCATCTCAGTCATATCCAAACCAAAAAAGTTGCAGCGAAGGAATCTTCTAAGAAACAAAGCGAATCGAGTATACCCAAACTTAAACTGGTAAGAACAGCTAATAAAAACGAATGGAGTGTTACGAATAAAGTGTAAAAAAAAAGTTTTTGAGGCTCATCTTGAGAAAAAAGACAACCTCAGAATGGCACCGGAACTAAACCGAATGTGATGACTAAGTTTTGTATAAAATGTTTTTGTTTTAGAGAATTGCACAAATATGGAGAATTTATTGATTTGTAACATTTGGTAATTCTCAATTTTTATCCATTTATTTGAAGAAGAAAAAAAAGGTCTAGTTTATAAGTCTATTTATTTCAATGAACACTTTTTGACTAAGTCAATGAAAAATTTGATCATCATCATCATGCTGCAATGCATTCTGTTTGAGTTGTGTTGGAAAATTGTGAAAATTGTGAATTTTTTCCCAAAAATAACCATGAATATGTGCCAAAAACCAGTTAAGAAATTATTTATATACGAATTATTTTATATAAAACGAAATACATGGCCGTTGACCAATAAAACGAAAACTGAATCAGCTAGAAAGAGAAATTGAATAAAAATGTAACAAATTTGTCTTCAGTCAAAATTATAGACCTTTGAACGAATTAAATCCGTCGGAAATTTGCGAAAATAAATACTGAAAGTTGCCTAATGATGCCTTACAAAAATCGGTGAAGGTACGTCTATAAAAAAAGGTTAAAATAAAAACTAAATATTCAAAAGTATGAATTATCTGACAAATCTACTAGTATGTGTGAGATTGAGAGTAGTGTATGTTATTGTGATGAGTTATATTTTGATAACATGGAGAATAAATTAGGTTTTACTCTCGGTTTTTGGCGATTTTCATTTAAATGACAAGAAATATCGAATCATGCCAAGAAAAATTTGATCTTATCAAACTGTGCAATTATCCTATATCTGTTGAAATAAGTAAATATTTCAAAGATTGCTCACCGCTTGAAAACATACTCAACTTTTTCCATCCAAAGTCTGTGAAACATACACCACTCTCAATCTTACCCATAGAAATGTCTCTTTTTTTTCTAAGAAAATTTAAACAAAATGAAAAACTGGAGAAAGTACTGGACTGAAAATGCAAAAAAAAAAAATCATCATGGAAAACAAGGTGGAAAATTGATGCATAAAAAATCAATTGCGACAATCGATTGTGATAGTGATTATTATAATTGTTATCCATTTAACAAATGACATTGAATTTTCGTCAATAAATCCGAAATTCTTATTTTGCCCTAGAAATTGCTAAATTGTATATTATTATTGGAAGTGTAGGTCGTATCAATTGTCAAGTCAAATGTGTTCTAAATAAAATACGTTTTGTGCACCGTATACACTGCACTGTGCACACCCTCTGGCGAAACTATGACAATGTTCAGTTTAGCGCCAACAAATGTTATAGTTATTGTATTCACAAACCGCAAGCAACATTCTATCATAGCTGTCACATCGACATGACATTTGTGCCGGCACACAAACGAGTTTGCTCAAAGATCGTATTTGTAGTGTAATAATTTACCAAAATCTCTAATAATTCCTGGGTTTTTATGTGCAATCAAACAAATGTAAGTGTTTCAAAAGAAAATTTGTTGGAATTGTTGAGGAATTTGAAATTTAAAGCAATGAATTTGCTATCGGAATAAAAAACATACGCACAATGTTTGACAAGTCTATGTAGAGTGCGTTTTGCATATCACTTTTCGATAGAAAAATTGTGAACGTTTGTAAAATGTTCAATTTTGTTTAATTCAATGTAATTTTTCCGTGAAAATGGACAAAACGAGTAAAATGAATTGAAATATTTTTTCATATCAAATAATGTTGACTAATTTTCTTTTCTCAAAGCCAGTGTCAATGGAACTTGGGAATTTGCTATCAATCGCATAAGTGAACCGAACGAATAGCCGATACCAATTCACTTGGAGCAGAGGAAAAGGGAATCGTGCTAAAGTTCATGTGATTCGCCAAACAAATTGAAAATGAGATCCAAAGCTGGAACGAAGAAAACCACTGATAACATCATTACCACCATCCAAGTTCAGCGAGATCGTCGTGTTTACGAAACTCTTTTCAAATGTGGCTACTGTGAACAGAAATTCTCGGTCAAAAGCAATCTAATCGATCACGAACACATTCACACACTGTGTGGCCATGTGATCAAGAATGGCACCAATGCAAAGGATGTGTGCAAATTTTTTAATAGACAATTCAGTAGCAAAGGTGGCTTGAAAAATCACGTTTGTTTGGTAACACTGCCGTCATCGTCGTCGTCGGTTGGAAATCAGAAATTGTTCAAATGCAAAGTGTGCCCAAAAAAGTTTCTGTATAAAAGTCATTTGTTGGATCATATGCAAACCCACAAAGCCTTCGAATGTGACATCTGTGGCATGGATTTTGGTAGCAAAGATGAAATGGACCGACATCGATATGGCCACGTAGAAAAGTGGGAATGGCAATGTTCGCAGTGCTCTCAGAAATTTGAATGGGAGTTCCATCTTGAGGCTCATGAAAAAATTCACCAGTGGGTCGATTCACTCGAGGAACGTTTCGAGTGCAACGACTCAGAGCTTATATTTCAAAGTGAGGAAGATTTTCCGAAAGAAGGAAGACGTCGGGCGCATGGAGTTCAACCATCGATAATGAAAGAACATATTCGTCCCACTGTGTTAGTGATTGACGCAAGTAATTCTCACATTTCGATGCAATCGCTCAATGTTGAGCCAAATGGTGAACCAGATCTTCCGAATGGATCGTGTGTTGCAGTCGGAACAGATGTTAACAGTTTCTCAGTCTCCAAAATGAGTGTGATTTCTATCAGTTCCGAATCCACAGGTAAGCCAGAACAAATGTGCGATTTGGGTGGTTTCAAGTTTGAACAAAATGTCTCAAGTGATCATTTTATTTCCATTTAAGGGAACCATCAACCAATCGAATCGGTGGATGCGGTTCAACCATCGATGAATAGTAGCATCCGTCCCGTTGTTGTAACGATTGATGCAACCAATTCGAATGTTGCCGTGAACATTCCGAAGCGATTGACCAGAGCAAAGTCAAGAGGTGAGGCCGAGTCAAGAGGTGAGGCCGAGTCAAGAGGTGAGGCCGAGTCAAGAGGTGAGGCCGAGTC